GAGGGCTCCACCCCATCGGCCCCATTGGCTGGGAATCCACCTGCCAGCACCCCAAGTCCTGAGCTGTGCCATGTAGACAACCGCATCCCCTCAACCACCACCCCAGCCAGCTCCTGCACCTCTACTCCCGCCCAGATCCCACAGCTGCAGACCCCTCCTGCACTCACCCAGCCCCCGCACCGGCACCCCACCTCCAGCCCAGCCCGTGCTCTCCCACCCCACTCCCCACAGCCCCTCCCACACACTGAACCCTTCACTGCGGCCCCACCCCTGAGCCTATGGTGCCCCACAAAATCTACTAGCCCCAAGTCCCCAGCAGAGTTAATCTGGCCCTGGGGGAAGCTCCCCTCAGTGGGGCTGTAATGCAAGGGGAACCCTGGCACCCCAAGGTGCATGAGTGAGATGAGCGCTTCCTTTTTTCTGCCTCTTAGTCGGGCCACACCCCTGCTTCTCACTAGCACGAGCCCCTTCCCACTGGTTTTTCTATGGGTCAGCAGCCCCCTGACCTAAAACAGGGTTCCCACCCCAGCTCTGGAGGCTAGGCTACACTGTGCTACCCTCAGGCAGCCAATTACAAGGAATTTTGGGGCACTGGGGTAGGAAGAGACCAGGCTGCCTCATGACCATGCCCCACCTAGCAGGCCAAACACACAAGTTAAGATTTAGCGACAATGCAGACTTGCTACATTTACCAGTTAGCGAGCTGGGAGATTGTTCCAACAAAACTCCATCTGAACGGCACGCCTTGCCTAGCTGGGACAAGCCAGCCCCTCCCCTCCAGCTCACAAAGAGCAGAGACGGTAACAGACGGTGTCGACACCCTGAGATCTAGGGCCACACAGCACACCAGAGAGGAGTAGCACGAGGAAGGAGGAGAGCGACCGTAACAGAGTTACACAGTTACTACACTAGCGAGCAGGCCGCATGAGTGGCCCTCCATCTCCATAGGTCGCAGGACTGCCCTAACCAAGACAGTGTCCCGGGATCGGGAGGTTTTGCTCATGGCCTGGAGAACCAGGAATTTGCGGGGGGTGCCGACTGCTCCGCAGCAAGGTCGTGACTGGATGCAGAGGGAGTGCCTGGCTCTCAGTGTCGTGAGCAAGCAGCACCCACCTCTCTTCCCGGGCCCTGGCTTTACGTGCGTGTTGCTTTTGCAATAGCAGCAGGAAGACACCCCACGCGGATGGACACCAGAGTCTGGCAACCCCATGCATGACCAATCGTAAACAAGATCTCTCACGGGACATGCACAGAACCCTCGGGCCTCAGACTGCCCACCACCCCATGGAAGTAGCTGGTGTATAGGAAAAACAAATGATAGAGCCAAAGTAGTTGGAGGAGCACAGAAAGAGATGGAGACTGGAATGAAGTTTACTACATATAATTAGTGGAGGATTTAAAGCTCCAGATCTGGAGGCAGGGAGGAATTTATATTTCTTCTCTCCCCCTCCCCACCAACTTCAGCTCCCCCACCCCCTGAAAGCTCTGGATGTGGGAGTGTGGTGGAGTAACAGCCCTAATCACCAGGTCAGTGAGATTAAATCTTATTGGGCCAAATTCTGTTGGTGAAAGACAAGTTTCTGAGCAACAGGTTTTCCAGAAAAGTGCCAAGTGACCCCAACGCCTGTCTTTCACCAGCCCAAGTGGGTCCAATAAACAATTTTACTTCACCCCGCCCCCCCCTTGCCCCCTCTCTTGGAATTAACCCTGCTACACCAGCACTGCAGACAGTGAAGGAAGCAGAGAAGCACGGCCCCCATTTTACATTAGGGAATGGAGGCAGAGGGCAGGAGGCAGAGCACCTCAGGAAAGTAGGGCCCTGGCCACAGCGCAATTCAGAGGCGGGAATTCCGGCGTTCACAGCTCTCCACGCTACCTGGCTTGCTGGGAGCAGCAGTCATTCAGCTTCGTCGGGCCGGCACTGCTAGGAGGGATGAGACAGGTGTCCAGCCATTCATTCAGCCACCAAGGCTTGGGTTAGCACGATACTTTGAACCTGTCCCCCAGAGGCAATCCCATCCTCTAGCATCAGCTCTGCCCTCTCAGCCCCACCCTGTCAAATTTCTGGCCCAACGGTGGTGTCACCATTCATGATTGGTTTACCGGGGACATCCCTGATGAGCTTAAACACAGAAAGGAAGCTGACAAGAAGTGGAAACTTGGACAGATGACTAGGGAGGAGTATCAATATATTGCTCGAGAATACAGGGGAGTTATCAGGAAGGCAAAAGCACAACTGAATTGCAGCTGGCAAGGGATGTGAAGGGTAACAAGAAAGGTTTCTACTGGCATGTTAGCAAGAAGAAGGTGACCTGAGAGGTGTGGGGCCCTTACTGGATGAGGGAGGTAACCTAGTGACAGATGATGTGGGGAAAGTTGAAGTACCCAATGCTTTCTTTGCTTCTGTCTTCACGGACAAGGTCAGCTCTCAGAGAAATGCACTAGGCAACGCAGTAGGGAAGGAGGTGGGCAGCCCTCGGTGGGGAAATAAATTAGGAACTATTTAGAAAAGCTTAAACGTGCAACAAATCTTGGACGCGCTCTTGTGGAAGACTTTTTGCACAAGAACTCTTCTGCAAAACAGTTCTTGCACAAGAAGACTGCAATGTAGATGCAGCCATGTTGTTTCCCCGAGAGAGATTCCTCTTGGCCATGGAGGACTTGCATGCAGGGCTGGAAGCATCCTTGTAGTCCAAGCAAAGCTCTTATCTACTCTCAGCTATTTAACTATGAAATGATTGGGGTTGATCATTTAGTTAGTGTTCAAACAGGTCTACATTATGCAAAAGTAAACACGAGCGAGGCTTCCTAATGATGATCTAGAATCCATCATGGGCAAACGAATACATTTCTTCAACAGATGATAATTTGCTGATTCCCAAACTCCCCTCCTTTTTGCCACAATAAGCTCTGTTCAGTTGCATGTGTTTTGAATTGACAGCAGCGCTCAAGTCTCAGCCCTATCACACCTGTACACACAGGCTAATGAGGTAACAGGTTCAGATTCACTGTAAAGTGAGACATCAGTCTTCAAATGAATGTTGCCTAAAGAGTACAGGCATGCCAGCTCTCACGGATTCATGCAATTTCTAAGTAAAATTAAACTTCACTCCTATGGGTAGCAATCAACGGCTCGATGTCAAGCTGTCAGTCAGTTTCTAGCGGAGTGCCCCAAAGATCTGTTCTAGGACTGGTTTTGTTCAACATCTTTATTAATGACCTGGACGAGGGGATGGATTGCACCCTCAGCAAGTTCGCAAGTGACACTAAGCTAGGGAGAGAGGTAGATATGCTGGAGGGCAGAGATCAGGTCCAGGGCGAGCTGGACAGATTAGAGGATTGGGCCACAAGAAATCTGATGAGGTTCAACAGGGACAAGTGGAGAGTCCTGCCCTTGGGACAGAAGAATCCCAAGCACTATTACAGGCTGGGGACCGACTGGCTAAGAAGCAGTTCACCAGAAAAGGCCCTGGGGATTCCAGTGGATGAAATGCTCGATATGAGAGTCAGCGGGGCGTCCTTGTAACCAAGAGGGGGGAATGGCGTATTAGGGTGCATTAGGAGGAGCATTGCCAGCAGATCCAGAGAAGTGATTATTCCCCTTTATTCAGCTCTGGTGAGGCCACATCTGGAGTAGTGTGTCCAGTTCTGGGCCCCCCACTATAGAAAGGATGTGGATTCACTGGAGAGGGTCCTGCGGAAAGCAACAAAAATGATAAGGGGACTGGAGCATGACCTATGAGGAGAGGCTGAGGGAGTTGGGTCTGTTTAGTCTGCAGAAGCGAAGAGTGAGGGGGGATTTGAGAGCAGC